GAATACATAAAAGAATTGTTTTTGTCAGAAAAATAAAAGGCTGGAATTAAAAGGAAGAGTTTCAAAGTTCGGAGGAATACTATCCGATCGGTATGTACCGGCCTGAGCATCAATGTCGACGTCTCCCGCACTCCGAAAAGTTTCAAATTGTTGCCCGAAGACGAGGGAAGACCAATCGGTATTCATTATTTTACGTCGCTGCTTCTTGTGTTTGTTCTGTGGGGTGTTCGTTATCCGATCTGTTCGTTAACCGATCACACACTGTATTCAAAAGCAATGACGACAAATAAACAATTTTTTTATCATTTTTTTAATTTAAATTTTTTAAATTGATATGAAAAAAATAATGAAATATTTATTTTATATATGCATCAAAATAGTATAAAAAAACGTAACAAAAATTGTTTATCAATAAAATGATGATATATTTAATAATAAAACTATATTTAAAAAACAATAGCGAGACTATTATTTTACATGTAGGTATTTCGACAAAATTCAATGGACTTAAATTTTGAACACATAGAAACACTTTTGCGTTGCGCGTAATATTCACAAAAAATTCATCTGGCCCATTAGTCCCCCCCTTTATTCAGATTCTAGATCTGCCGCTGGTCAAGGGTGTCACGATTTGTTATTTTTCAATTAGGTGTGCCACTCAATGAAAAAGGTTGAAAAACACTGGTCTAGGGCCTGTGGTGGTGAATGGAATTGTCTTTCTACATTATACACCACCATTCTTTTCTTATGTTATAATAGGTAATCGAAAGTTAGGCATAATTTGGCACCAAAGCAATTCAATGTTTATTTCCTTAGAAATGCTTGGGAGTAAAAGTCTACATATGATTCTTATAGAGTTCCATTTAATAGGTACTTTGTCTTAAGATCCATAAAGTGAGAAGGCAATCAAATTTCCATTTTTATCTGTAATATAGATAAGAGTAAATACAAAATTATGTTATAAAAAGAACACATTTTTCAATTGGCCTTTCTGTGATTACTAAAGTTTGTTAAATTTGGTAATGGTGAAACATTTCAAAAATAGTAATAGAGTTAATGTACTGTACATATCTGTAACACCTGCATTGCAATTTAGCATAGATCAACATTTTATTTTCTCCGAGATCGAATTTGGGCTGTTGAAGAACCCAAAGCGATCTTACCTGATGTGTCGAGTCCCATCTCATATAGTCCACCAGCCCAAATTGTGGATCTTCAGAAACCAAGGATGGGTAAGATTAAAACAGTCCTCCATAAACAAAACATCACCAGCTGCCATATTGCAAGTGTGACGAAATATAGGTTGAGCACGAAGATCTTCAATGATCTTAGGTAAGAGTTAGCAATACTGAAATATGAGCGAGATTTGTGCACAGATAATTTCTTACCATACTAAATTTCCAGAGATTTAACAAAAAAATTGATTACAAAACGATTATCGATGAAAATCGATGAAATTCCATTTAATCCATGCAAGGTGTGATTACCAGAGCCCCTTTGGCCGCCAATTTAAAGCGTTTTGATCTCTAAAATTGACGTTTCCACTTCCCGGGACGAGGACCCAGGGGTTGGATTTGTGGGAAGCGAGTGTTTGGGTTGTTTCATTGTGTAAAATTACACGCCAAGCGCCTCGTTCTCTAAGTGCGTGAGTGTGAGAATTCAAGTAAAGGTTAATTAAAACGGTGTATATTTTCGTGTACAATGATGATGAGTGTATGTGTGTGCGTGATTGAAGAACATCTTTCAGTGTGTCTAAAATCAGAAAAACAGTAAATTACGATAAGAGAATAAAATGTGTAAAAAGAGAAAACAAAAAAGAGTTCTTACCGTCGGAAATTTCAGGAAATATTCACTTGTATGATGAACAGCCGCTTTGTCTTGTTTGGGAGGTAGTAGTAGTAAGAACATTTTGTAGTTCCTACAAAAAACACAAAGACAGTGAGAAAGCGAGAAGTTCATTAATTATCTAAGGTCAACATTATTACCTTTATAAGACAGTCTTCACCTTTTCTCATAACACTGTTCCGGAGGAAAGGACTTGACCAACCGGAAGCTCAATCCCCATAACAGCTGTTTGGAAAGAAAGGTCAGCTGAATGTTGCGTCCAGTGAGTAAACGTGTTACATCTAGGTGGTCACAATCAGGAGTCAAATCTGTTGTCATCGACCAAGTGTCACATTCGGGAGACAAGTATGTGGGTCAGGTCTGGGAAAAGGTGTCGAGTCCGGGTGAAGAAGGGGAAAATCGAAGAGGATCACCATCTGCAGCAACAAAACCACATACCACGGTCCCGAGACTCGGGCGACTCTTTCCTCCAATTCCTCCCCATTCCAACTTCGGCAAGGCAGTGGTGTCCCTGTGGCGGGTGAACAGGCAGAACGCGACCAACCAGAAAATGTCAACTTACACAAGCCGTCACTTTCTACATCTTCCACAGCAAGGTCTGTGGCTGGATGAACCCCTAAGACCGTGGCCAAATACATCGGACCCAGAAAGTAGCATCGCATAATCCCGACTCCGGGAGGATGCCATTCTACACACTTGGGAAAGGTCTTTTTTACCCGCTGCCTCTTGCTCATCGAGCCCCCACTCCTCCAGTGTCTCTTTGGGTGCAGTATGAGTACAACAGATTTGTTCCATGCCCTCTGCAGAACCTCCTCCAAAATTGCACCAACTTCTTCATTCTGTAAAAAAGAAAATTTGCAATTAGTCCTCTGAAAACAAAAGCTTAAATTAATAAAGCAAAATGCTCACCGCAGCTTCCTTTTTAAATTTAAAACATTCGAATCGAAAATGAAAACAGGTGACTGTCGAATGATGGTCTGAGGTGTCTTCTGCTGATGCTTCTTCCAGCAATATTAAATAAATTCTTACGTCTAGGGTCAATATGGGCTAAGACTTACCTCAAAAATCTCTCTTCTTCTTTCTCGAACTCCACAAACCGCAAGAAAAACACGTCTGAACTGTGTTCAAAATACGTCACGTGACGATTCAAACGTTAAAAGACATCAACAATGTTCGAATTTCGTAAAAATTAGAATTTAAAAAAAAAAAATTTTATTTTTTTAATAATTAATATGTAAATTTTTTGCTTCAATCATTTTCTTGTGTTTGGAATTTGGTAAATTATCTTCTACATTTACATGGTGCGGAATGTCAACCGTGGAGTGGTAAAAGACGAACTTAAATTTTATGTCTCAAGGCTTGTCCGTCCCTGAAAATCGCACGAAATTTGTTTGAATAAATATCTTTGTCTGTTTTCGGCCATCGCATGAAATAAATTCAATTTATTTTGCCCATTATTAAGAATTTCAATCTTATTTCACTTTTCAGAGAGATTCATCAGTCGCCATCAGGGGTTGAATGTATTGTGTATTGATACATCATCAAACTGGATAAAGTTAATATTAAAAATACATGAAAGTCACGTTTTTTTCAATTCAAAATGTCCCCACGAAAGCAATTAATAGAGGACCGGCACGACTATTGTTAACAGAAAAGTGTGATGTATGGGGGCAAACCACTATTAGGTGGACAGCATATATTGTAAATTAAAATGATTTTAAAATATTATTAATGTAATAAGTCTGAAAACTTACTTCTGATGCAGGCAGAAATGACTTAGAGGAGAGAATTTTTTATATTGAATACTTTTAATGATATATCTTTGGAAACCAAAATTTACATTTTTAAGTCAAAGTTGAATTTGTTTTTGATCACATTTGTCTATAAAAACTAAATAAGTCGATTATGTATTTTTATACACAGTATAAAGAGAAAAAAAAGCATTATGTTGGTTGGTGCAAGATGACATGCAACATTTCTTTTTCACATACGTATTTATTGCTTTACAAAAATATCTACAGAACAAATTAACTTAAAAGAATTTGCATGAAAAAGGTCTTTTTGAAGTATTTCTATACTACTCTGAATACTGTACAACACGAGAAATCAACACACAAATATATAAAACTGTTAATAGTATAGTAAGTTAAAAAAATTCTTATATATATATAGTATAGTATAGCATATATAATATATACTGAAACAAGATAAGATTCTTAATTCTTAGGATTATCTCGGACAGATTATTCGGTTTTCTCCACCGAATTTTGACGACTCGTCTGTAAATTCATAACCGATAAGCCTTGCCTTTTGTAGAGATTGGGGTCGAAATTTAATGGACTCTGTAATATTTATTTTTCATATTTAGTCAAATTTTTAAAAATTAGTTTAATTTGTCTTTACAGATTCACTTACTTCTCTTGCAATCGGTGCAATTTTGGCGATTTCATCCAAATTATTTGGTGGGATTTGACTAAATGGTGATTTGGCACAGTTTAAAAGAAAATCTCTGGTGTAAAGAATTCTTTCTTTGGTATTATATACGAATTCCACTTTTTGCAATGGAGAAGTCTCTCTCTTTTCGGATAACGGAATCTGAGAAAATTAAAAACATTTATAGTACATATACTTATTAATTAAATAAAAATTTATGTAAAAATTGCAAAAATATTTGGTTTAGAACTAGAAATTATGAAATACTTAATAAGGTTTGCTATTTTACACAAATTTCCACTTATGCCAGAGGTCTCTAAATGTATCGATCACGTGTGCCTACCACTAAGGACAGAGAGGTTGAGGCGCACGTTTTAAACGTGTANACTGTTAATAGTATAGTAAGTTAAAAAAATTCTTATATATATATAGTATAGTATAGCATATATAATATATACTGAAACAAGATAAGATTCTTAATTCTTAGGATTATCTCGGACAGATTATTCGGTTTTCTCCACCGAATTTTGACGACTCGTCTGTAAATTCATAACCGATAAGCCTTGCCTTTTGTAGAGATTGGGGTCGAAATTTAATGGACTCTGTAATATTTATTTTTCATATTTAGTCAAATTTTTAAAAATTAGTTTAATTTGTCTTTACAGATTCACTTACTTCTCTTGCAATCGGTGCAATTTTGGCGATTTCATCCAAATTATTTGGTGGGATTTGACTAAATGGTGATTTGGCACAGTTTAAAAGAAAATCTCTGGTGTAAAGAATTCTTTCTTTGGTATTATATACGAATTCCACTTTTTGCAATGGAGAAGTCTCTCTCTTTTCGGATAACGGAATCTGAGAAAATTAAAAACATTTATAGTACATATACTTATTAATTAAATAAAAATTTATGTAAAAATTGCAAAAATATTTGGTTTAGAACTAGAAATTATGAAATACTTAATAAGGTTTGCTATTTTACACAAATTTCCACTTATGCCAGAGGTCTCTAAATGTATCGATCACGTGTGCCTACCACTAAGGACAGAGAGGTTGAGGCGCACGTTTTAAACGTGTAAACGTGTACGTGTGACGTTCGGCGCCGCTTTCCCGTAAGCCTAAAAGTTTGACAATGGTGTTTGGATAGTCGTCGGAATCACGCTCGACATTCCAAACACCATCGTCAAACTTTTAGGCTTACGGGAAAGCGGCGCCGAACGTCACACGTACACGTTTAAAACGTGCGCCTCAACCTCTCTATTAATAAAATTTTAGTGCAAAATTGAATTAGTTTTATTTTTACCGATGTCAACAGAAAAGAAGAAATAGGCCACAATTTATCATTAATGATATAGGTGTCCGATGTATATAGTTACTTCTGTAAAATGAATGTTTTGAGCACAATTTTTTGATCAAGCTGGGTAAGATTTAAATGAGATTTGTAAACATTACTTACAAATTCAAAAAACTTTTTGATTGCTTTAACTATTACTATTTACAAATATCTGGGAATCAATCAGTGTAAGTGAATTTAAGTAATTTTCGAAATAAAAATGTAATTGAACGTGACTAATTTTCATAATCAATCGCACAGATAAAAAGTAATGAAAATTTCACATATTCTCATAAATGTTTAAAAAAAAGATAAACTCCTGAAAGATTGTTGAAGACAACATATTTTCTAAAGCCCTTTATAATTACCAACAACTCTGACAGAACAGAGGAAGATGTTCAAGGAGACGGGAATGACAACAACAGTGAAAGTGACAATATTATTTCAATGACTTTGCATTAAAAAAGTTTGGAAATTGCCAATATTTTGTATTCAAGTAAAATTAGTAATAAAAGATTACTTTTCAAAAATACTTGGATCCAAATATAAGTTAGATTTCAAAGTTTATATTTGAGCCAATATGGTACATTAATTTTGAATGATACAAAACAAAAAATTTCATGCAACAAATAAATCAATTTTTTTTTATTAAGCTATCATTGAATTTATCTAACAATTCAAGAGATAAAAAAATATATACATCTAAGAATTTGAACATATCATAAAATCAATTCTCATACAAATTGCATAGATAAAACAAGCATTTGTAAATGTGCTTAATAAATTGCTACAATCTCGTCACAACATATCCTCAATATTTGGCATTTTATGAGCAGAATGAAAATTTAAGTGACAAAAGTATTTATAACAAACATCTCTAATTTATTAGTTAGGATTATTCATGCTGTGATTTACAGCTGAAGAAATGTGATCAAATAAAAAATGAGTTTATTATGTATTATTTACATTGTTTACTAGTTTTTCATTTTACATATGTAACTCAAAAGATAATTTCTATTAATTTATATTAAACAATATATTTTGTTTTAATTGTCTAACAAATTATATTTTTAAAATTTTCATAAAATATTCATTAGTAATGTAAAAAACTCAAAATCATTTTGCAGCAATTAGGGAAATGTTTGTTACTTGTTAATAAAATAATTTAACAAATATTAAAACAATGAAATCATCTTAATCAAGAACGTGCATGAGTGTGTTATATAAAAATATCTTTTCTGACCTGGCTTAATTTTTGATTAAACTGCTTTCCTGATTGAGCTTCTGGCATTTGTCCTATTAATAAAAAAAGAAATTTATACGTTTTATAATTTAAAGTATAATAAAACTTCAAAGGATATAATTAAATTACCAAGTAAGTATGATTTTAAATCAATAAAGGAATTATTTGTTTTACTCAGTTCCTTCGATAGTAAATTTTGATTAGAAAAATCCTTTGGAAGTTCAGATATCTGAAATATTAAGTTACATAAACTTTTAGCATCAGATACAACTAATGTGTAAATAAATTTCAAACTAATCTTAATTTTATGATGATATTATCAATGATTCAAGAATATGTCAAACTTAAAATTTAGAAAGAATCTGATTTACAAAATAAAGGACAGTCCAACCAAATTATTTCTATTTATATACAAAATTTAATAAATGTACAATACATATTAAATATTTTTTTATTATGTTTATTTATAGTAATATTGAAATTTCATGTGTGTAAAAACACCAAGAGACTATTTTTTGAAATACCATTTTTCCATTGAAAACTTCATCTTCCAAAGGACTTCCTTCCGCTTTATAGGTTTCATCATCGCTTGAACTTGAAATAAGATTGGAACTTCCTCGGTTTTCACTATAAAATCAAAATTTATTATAGACCTTAAATGTAAAATTTAAAATAAGATGTTAGTTTTATCAATTTAAATAGTAATCATCATTTGAAAATACATGCATCTCCCACTTAATCTATTCATGAAAGTCAAACATCTTGTGTGAAAATGCTAACTATTTAAGTGAGAAGAAAAAAAAATCATACATCGACCCAAATTTCTACCAATTTCCTAAAACAGTTATGTACGAGTAACAAACTATCATGTTTGGCTGTAAAATGCCAAAAACATTGTTAGGAACATTATTATTTGGTCACCAGGAAACAAAAAGTTTCTTTGTATGCAAACATGTACCGTACAGTTTGCATGCCATACCATAAACATTATGTTTACAATACAACAGAGCAAATAAAACAACAAAGAAAAAAACAGAAAAAATTTACAATAAAAATCAAGGCAATTTTCTCTAAAGAACTGTTTATTATCAAGTGAGATGGAGATTAAATTTGAGACTTTTTATTTACTTCTCCAATAACTCATACAAGTTTTTCTTGTACATAGTATAGTCAAAAATAAACCAAACTTGTACTATCAATATGATGAAACTTTTAATATAAGTATTTACAGAACATCCTCCTCAAATTAAGCACCACACTTCTTCCAACACTTATCATTTATTAAAGACAGTCTTGCAGCCTATTCTATAACAATTGCACTCTCCAAGTACAATTGTTGCAGAACTTTTTATCTCTTCTACTGATTTGAATCTGCAACCTTTCATTAGAGCTTTCAACTTCCCATTGACTTTGTCTATGGGAGCAAAGTTTGGTTAGTAGGAAAGATGTGAAAGTACAGATATTAATATTTTTCCAGATATACAACTAAAAAAACCAGAATGCACAAGGAGTGATGTCTTCATGGAGAATCGAACTTGTTTATTTGCCAGAGACAAGACATTTTTCTCTTACTGTGTTATAGAGATGACAAACAGGCTTCTCTGTTTGAAGGTCTACCTTTATGAACATAAATCAGCTCTTTCACACAGAAAAAAACCACAGCATTATCTTTCTCTTAGCTCTCAGGATAAAATTTTTTTTCTACATTAGCAGAGATCAATTTCCATGTCAATAATATGCATTTGCTCTGTGGATTATGCAAGAAACACTGGATTCCATCACTAGTAATAAACTGGTTATGATTTCTGGGTCTATCAACTGTAATGATCAGTTCTTTGGTGAGCATGTTCTTCACTTTGCTCATCTGTTAGACAGAATGAACAGACATAATACATTTTCATGTCTTCACAAAGAATGACACAGAGTCATATGAAATTCCCAAAATGTTGACCAATTGTCTATTGATTATCTACACTCTCGATCTATGAACACACTTTCATTTCTTACTGAAGCTGAGTGGAGATTATTCACTGTTGATGCCAGTCATGCCATTTGTAAACTAGTGTACACAACACATTTAATTTCTTTACTGAAAAATTTAATATGATTAAAGTTTTTACCAAGTTTGATACAGAATTTAACGTGAATTCACTGCTCATGATGTGTCATTTCAGAATTCTGATGGTGCATACCTCCATACTTCAATACTTTGATCTTTTATGTTCTAATCCATTTGAATAGACAACTGCATGATAAACATTACCGACATGTCTAAGAAAATGTTCAAACACACACACAATTACAGCCACAAGGCAACACAAAACTTTGGCCAAAAAATTTGCAGTAAGAAAGGATATATTCTATAAAGTTTGGATGTTAAAAATCAAGATTTTCTGTGGGATATACCTGTATTTTAGATGAAGATGCCTATTTAAAAAAATAAATAAATACCTTTTTTGAGCATCTTGTTTTGTTATTTCTGAATGAACTTGATCAGTTTTATAATTGGAATTGGTTAAATCTAAGCAGGCTTGAGCCATTAGTTGTTGATTTTTTTGCTATATTACAAAAATTATTATTAGACAAAATATTTCAGAAATAATAGGAAGAAAAATATAATAAATTAATTTATATATATAACAAATTTTTTACTTCAAATAAATCAGTACAAATTAATTACAGTCGACCCCCCTATAAGATCATTGATTATTCCGTTTTATATGAATTCTATGTTGTACGAGTCACTTAAATTTTACAAATACATGAGCCGTTCACAGCCCGGTACACGTATTTGTAAAATCTAAGTGACTCATACAATATGAAATTCATATAAAACGGAATAATCAATGATCTTATAGAGGGGTCGACTGTATTGAATTAAACGATTAAATAAATTATGTATCTATAATACATAATATAAATCAATAGATTTTTAAAATACAGTCAAACCCTGGGGTTTTGAACACCTTGCTTTTCAAATGACTTGGTTTACAAACAAAATTCTGAACTCATTTTTGCCCTGGTTGCCAAATATGCTACTTGGCAGAGCTGGCCACCAATGGTCAGCTTTCACCAACAGCTAAAAAGGTCAGTTTCCTATATTTCCTAAAAGTCAATGGCCCAACTAATCAATGACATGACTACTAATTCAGAAGTTAGTGATGCCGAGATCACATTGCGTCACAATATGAATCATTGACGACATTGTTATTTAAACTACATTTCAATGTGAATGCAGGAAAGATACTATTTCTGTTTTTTGATATGTGCTACAGTTGAATTTAAATCAAATTAATTAATAATAACTGCATTAATTGAAATTTACGTGATATAAATGGCATTCAAGAAATTTATTTAAATATACTTAAGTTAAATGACAAAAATTTATTAATATAATATTACAGTATATATTATAATATAAATATTTATTAACACTAGGTAGCCAGTAAATTAAAACTAAAAATAATTAAAACAAACCTTTACATCAAAACTAAAATTGAAAATAAAACTAATTAATTTAAATCAAATCAAATCAATTGTTATGTAATATTTTGGAAAGTGTGAATGAAGTACTTGTTGTGCATCTTGATTGATTTGATTAAATTTTATCCAGGCAGTCAGAGTTGAGTCTCTATTTATAGCTCTTTTTTGTAAAGTGTTAGTTCCAGTTTCAGTTGGTGGTGACAAAACATTTTGCTTTTAATATATATAGAGAATAAATGTAGAGATTAGATATAGATAAAATAATATTATATTGCCTTTATAGGCATTTTTATGCATGAAATACAGCTAAAAAGATTTTGTTTTGAGGGTCAGAAATGGATTAATCCATTTTATGTTGTTTCTTATGGGAAAATTTGTTTCAGTTTTAGAACAAATCAGTTTTGAACAACTTTTAGGAATGAATTAAGTTCAAAACCTGAGGTTTGACTGTTTAAATTGTTTAACATTTGTTTTCGTAAAAATGAAATGTATCCTATATACTTTTTGGAAGGGAACCACCCACCTTTTCCTTCCTTTGAATTTTTCAATATTGAATATCAAATTATATCTTTGAGTTCATAAATATTTAGCAAATGTTTTTAATACATCCATGTATAGAATAAATAATGAGGTCATACACTCACTGACAAAAAGTTATGCACCTAGATAGAACTATTTGATTACCTCGGCATGTCTATGGCTACATTTTGGATAGGTACCGGTACATAAATGATTACAGTTGTGGTTCAATTGCAAGCCAGGTAATGCCACCATAGAGCTTTAAAATCACTATTCTAGCATCCCATGAAAAGGCTTGCAGATACTTTGTGTTCAGAATTTTCAGTATATTTGTTATCTGCAGATCTTGAATGCTAGGCATGATTGTATGATGCAATCAAAGACATTACACACAGCCAATAGAATTTGAGAAAGACTGCATCATCATTGACATTAAAACAGAACTAGTTAAAAAGGAATACACATCTTTTTTTTGGTGTGTTCTGTTTTAATTATGCAAAAAAAAATTATTATTTTGATCTACTTTAATTATTTTGCTCTATATTATGTTATAAATGTATATCTTATCTTAAAAAATGAAATTTATTTCTAAAGCAACTTACTCGTTGTAGCAATTCTTCCTGGCCTGCAAAATATTCTTCCAAAACCAATTTCGCAGTCTAAAATATTTACGTAAAATTCAAAATGTATCAAAGTTTTTATTTTTCTTTTTAAGTAAAATAACTTACTTTCACTAAATCCACTTTGCATCCAGATATTTTTATAACATCATGCCCTACTGTTACCGTAAAGGTGTATTCACCCAATGTTGCATCACTCATACTGTAACTATGAATTAAAGATTTTTTTCCACCTAAAATACTGACTGGACCACCAGAATCTTCAGAAACAGTGCTATTAAGACTAGTTGATGAACCACTACAATCATCTTCATTTTGACACTTTTCCTTTATTATAAAAAAAAAAAATTATTATTATTAAGCTTTGTAACATTATTTAAAGTATGTATTAAATTAAATGAACTATCAATGATCTGCATTATAAGTTAGCTTACACGAATAGGAGATGCATTCCTTCTTATTGTATCTTCTATCAAAATCTTGGAACAACTAAAAGAAAAATAACTTACTTAGAATTAAAATTTTTTATTTCATTATAAAAGTAAGTATAAAATAATTCTAGAAGTTTTGATTTTTATTGCTTTTATATAAAAAAAATGCAATTGTATAAAATTACACAAAAGTAAATCCTCACTAACTTTATTATGGCTTCATTAAATTTCTGTAAATTTACTCTCTAATATTTATTATTAAATGCAGGTAAACATTACGGAACAAAAATGAGTAAAAAAGAAAAAAAAATTTAAAATATTTGCTATTAAATATTACACTTCTTTATAAGATTATTCTATATTGAGAAGATTTCTAATTTAAAAAAAATTTACTTGACTGCAACAAATTCAAAATATAAAAAAAATTTTCTTGTTTTGATTGCTTTGAATTTATTTGCATTTATACACAGCACAATATTTTATTCTCACTAATTCAAACTAATTCACGAGTCATGAGCAAAATAACATTAAAAAAAAACCAGTTAAACGCAACAACTTTTACTATCACAAATATTTTCATTCGTCTAGAACAGGGCTGCCCAGTTTATTTTGGAGGCAGGCTATAATTTCAATTACACGTCAGCCAGCGAGCCATCTAGGGAATCATACTTGCTTACACTCATAATTCTTCTATAAATGGATAGGTATTTGAATCAAACAAAGCTTTAAGTTGCACATCTTTTAATAATACCTAATAAAAAATACACCAATGAGACCTATGAAGGAGCTTATTAGCTAATAATTTTTCAATATTTGGTGACAATAATTTTAATACACAAAAGTTGACTCAAAACGAATAGAATAAGTGTAATAAACGCATAGGTATTAACAGTGGTGTGGTGTGGCAGTGACTCAAGTCATAGTTCGTTCCACGTTCGACCAATCATGTGGCGGTTGGCATTATTGGTAGCACAACATTGTGCATAGTGACAGCCGACTGCTACTGTGGGCAGGCAAATTCAAATGCATTGGTGGGCCACTTTGTGGCCCACGGGCCTGGGTTTGGATAGCCTTGATCGCGCCATTCTCTGGCAATAATGCCAAACATTAAAAACAAATTAATTTAAATATTATTACATAAAAACATTGTTACACTTTGCAGATAAATATAAATATTAAGAGACAATTTATATTTCCTTACACGTTAAGTAGAATTTTGAAAACAGTATTGACAGAAAAATATTATATATATTTGCGATTATAAAATAAAATGAACTATTTAGCTAACTTTTTAAAATGAAAGTAAACTAACATTGACAACAACAGTATTTGATACTGAACAATTCTTTAAAAATTGAAATAATAATTAATAATGAGTATCATACAACAGAATACAAATTTAAAACAACAAAATATTAAATACTTGACAACTCCATAGGTAATTTATATCTAAATATCAATCTGGTTACATATTAAATACTTTTTTTATAAAAATAAATACAACATACAGTAATGATACTGAGATAAAATATGGTATATATCGTACTGAATGTATAAATTAGTAACTATTATTATAATTACAATAAAGTCTCAATATAATTAAATTTTTTCAAATAATAATTCTGTAAACACTTTCCACATATCCCCCCCTCACATATTATAGTATATTTTATTTTTTTAAAATAACTTAAGAAACTTCTCACTTGATTGAATCTTCGCTTTGACCGGTAATCTGAACCAAACGATCCCGAGCTCCAGGGCTCACTGTAACAAATTTAATAAAATTTAAATTGATATTATTTATAAGCATTAACATCATTAAATACTTGTAAATCTCAATTAGCACTTAATTATAAATGAGTAAATGAAAAATACTAAAAGAAATATTAACACAGGATGAATTTTCAGGACAAACTATTGTTTTGATAATAAAAGTGACAATTACAATAAACTTGTAATGTGTGTATATGTGTATGCACATGTTTAAGATGCAAAATAATTGCTTTTATCTAAAATCTAATTTCGTAAGCAAATATTTCCATAATAAAAAAAGTTTCTATTAACTTTTATATATCAGCTAGACTTTTTAAAATATTTTATGAAGATTTTCAATTTGTTTATACTAATTTCATTTTAAATGAATTAATTCTAATTTGAAATACAAATTAAGTTAGAAAAAAAATTAATAGAAGGATCCATAAATAAAATGTACATTATTAATGATTTATCTATAAAAGTTTCACTAACTTTTTTTCAAAAGTTTATATTTAGTGATTATTTGGTTATTATAATATTCAACTGGTACATAATAAAAACAATTTTATGTATCAAAATTAATGTTATTTATATTTAAAAAAGCAGCATTCTTCTACTATAGACTTAAAATACTTTTAATGATGAAATATCAAGTAAATAACATTAAGAAACAATTATTTTTAATAAAGATTTATTTATGTTTAAGTTAAATAACTTATGTTTAATTCTATAAAACTTAATTAATGAACTCAATACTTTAAAGTATGCAACACATTTCAGACTTTTTCATTTCAAATAAAACTAACGTAAATTCTTTGGCTAGATGCCTATGAATACCTACTTATGTAAAAAAAGTCCTCTATACTATTCAGTACAACTGCTGCAAGGAGGATACCATAAAAACAGCAATGGTCACATACCATTGGTATGATACTGCTACTTCATAAAATATTTGCAATCAAGTTCACTTTCAAAGTGCCAGCACTAGAATAATCAAAACATTGGGGTGAGCAAAAAGTTGAGAGCAAGGTTTGTTATAACTGTGTGGATATGTTGTCTGTTATTCTGTTATGTGTCGTGTAATGCTGTGGTTTTGTTTTTCTTGTAGGATATCATTGTAATCCAGTGAAAAATTGAGCATAAGAGTATTACACCTCCATCCAAGCATATCTAATGAACAGTCAGGTTCTTGATGGGATTTTTAAAAGGACAGGGAAAAAATTTTTCATAATGTAGTTTATTAATTTTTACAATTTAGATTATAAGCTTTTTGTATTATTTAATTCTTTCCAAATGGGAGGAATTAAACCCCCAAAGCTTCTCCATGTGCACAGTCTTGTTGGAAGTTGTACAGTTTTGTATGTCAAAGACTTTAAATTGGCACACAAGATTCACAAGAGTATAATGTGTACAGTAATGGTTGTTGGTCCTACTGCAACGTAACCAGATGGTGTAAACTTTTACAGGAAGACAGACAACATAAGGGACTACCCATATTCTGGTTATAAGGGACTACCATCACAGCCACCTCCAATAAAACCAGAAAACTCAGATGAAAACCATCATTTGTACCAACAACCACCAAAAAGTGTTTGTGAAGTGTCCTAGGTATCAGTTATGAGTAACTGCATCATCATCAAAATTCTTGGTTATCATAACTACTGCGGCAATGAATTCCTCACAAATTCATTTTCAGTCAGAACAAATTAAAGATATTGTCCTGCAGTATTTTCATGAAAAAACGACATCTTCATTTCCTGAATCATTTCTGGTGACTTCATTGAAGAAGTCTCCCCCAAGTCAATAGGATAAGTTCTCAAAGCCCAGCGGAATACTTTTAGGCATGATAAATAAGAATGTGAGAACATCTGAATTGCCAGAACTTTCTGCTCACCCTAAATAACAGGCCTGAGGGTTACTAAGTTATTTAAAAAGTTTTATTATGCATCTATTTACATTAAGAGAACCTAAGGTTTTTAATATGTTGGGAAACAAAAGAATGTTTATCTGATATCAAAAAGCTAGGAGTCTATAAAATTCCACTTGTTAAAAAATTCTCAAGTACTATAGCATGCAAGAATCTGTAAGTACTACATAAGCAGTACTTACAGATTCTTACATGAGAGATAAAGAATAGAATTTGTTAGAACAAACAGAGTCACTATGTATTAACAAGAAAAACCTTAAACACTTTTCCAGCAAGATAAGGAGGCCCACTTCAGGATCTTGAAGTGGGGCCCCTTTTTAGGATTACTATGGCACAGAAAAACACACATTTGATAAAGAATGGCTAAGTGAATGAAAGGAAACCTCTCTATTATGCCACTTAAATTCAGTTCTCCTCCTTAAACAAAACAATGACTCATAGTAATATTTAATAAAAGGTCAAAAGTGCTATGTTAGATCCATGCATAGGGCACTCATTCAAGTGATTGTGCATAACACTCAGTTAATTAAATTCTTGTGTTTTATTTCATTTAAAAAAAAATCAAGCACCAGTCCAATCCAAAAATACAAATTTGAAAGAAGTTTGTTCAATTGATTAATGAAATAAGTTTTTTGAGTGATACTCTGAAATGAGAATCTCAGAAAATATTACAACAGACTTCTTAATGTAAGGAGTTTACTTTTGTTTTTGTAACATTTAATACTTTCAGATTATTGTAATATAATCCAAATTACGACTTAAAATTAGAATAAAATTTTCTTATTTAAAATACAATATACCTATTAGTATAAAAATAAAAATATGTGATAAGAAAGAAAGATAGTAATAGTAATGATAAAGAACACAAGGAAATGTTACTGTAGCAGTTAAATATCAAAAATTTGATTTAAAAAGGAACAGATCAAAAAAGTCAGTGTAGCAACTAACTCTTTTTGATACCATTAAAAATGAAAAGAAATATTGTTAAAATATTCAAATAGGGCTATATGTCCTAGAAGTAGTTAAAAATAGAAATAGGTCAATATCATATATAAATAGCACCGCAAAGTCATTGAACACAAGAATTACAAGAGGAAAAAATTAAGCAACATTAGTAGAAAAAGCATATAATAAGAAGACAGAAGTTAAATGGAATGATATTAAATTAACATAGCTAATGAAAAAAAGCACACATTATAAACAAAAGAATGGAACTGGGATACTAAGCATAACCCAATTCCAGTACTGAACATATTAAAATGAATTATTACTACACAAATTGTTTTTTAAACAAATCATTACAAATACACATTTTTATTTAAAATTAAAAGCCTATATTTAAAGTTATAATTTTGATAATGAAATTAAAATATAATAAAAATATTAAATTTAAAAAAGTATATTTCTTTGGTTAATAAACTTTAACTTTATAAACAAGTTAAGATAAGAAATTATAAATAAAGAATTGTAATTTAATTGCATAAAATAATTTAACTGTAGATGTAAACTTATAAAATCTATAAACTATCAATAATAAACTTCTTTTATGTACTGATATTGACAAACTTGTTTATTAGTTGAAAACCGATCTTTGCTTTACACTCTAATAAAATGAATTCATTTTTTGTTTCCTAGTACAGTGGTGCCTTGTACTTCGAATTTAATTCATTCCAGGAGGCCGTTCAAACTATAAAGCAGTTTTTCCCATTAAAAATAATGGAAATCAAGTTAATCCATTACCAGTCCCTAAAGATTATGCATTTCAATAAACTTAAAATGGTAAATACACATAATTTAAGGTAAAGTAACGCAAGTGCCCTAATAATAAATTAACTCAATGAAAACAATAAAATATATAATGTATAACAAAATAAAAATTGCATTTACTGGTCACACACTCACTGTCAACTTTGGCATTTTGAACATGGCTGCCAAGTCTGCCACACATGTACTGCTTTCATGCTTCATAAGTTCCTTTTTCATCTTAGCCTTTTTCAAGCTTTCCTCCTACCAGTTAAACTTTGTTGCTTCCACACACTTCTCAGATGATATGATTAATAAGTAACAGTTACTTTGGGTTGAACAAAAAGTTTTTGTGTATTTTTAACAGGTGTCATTACTTAACATAGATGTGTGACTTAATTATAACAGTTATGAATTTTAACATATTATTGCTAATTTGAAATTATATTCTTTGTTTGGAAGCTTATTTTACACTTTACATTTTTCATTCCACACAGTTTGAACTTTCAAGTGTCATTCAAACTCTGAAGCAAATTTTTGTCAAATTTAGCATTCGAAGTTAGAGTTACTCTAAGTACAGTGGAACCCCGGTTAACGAACTTAATCCGTTCGTTAACTGAATTGTTCGTTAACCGAAGCAATTTTTCCCATAGAAATTAATGCAAATGCAATTAATTCGTTCTAGTCTCCGAAATTTTTGTCATTTTATTTGAAATATACAGTAATTTTCTTTGATGAAAATGTAGGAAAACGTAGTATCTATCATTACAGCAACAAACATGTAAACTTTGTTTAATAATGCCTTCGTTTGTTGTAGTTGGTGGCAGAAAAGTGAAGATATACGAACCTTAATGATTAGAAGGGGAATCCCCTCCAAAAAAATAACGGGTAGCACTTCATCGGAAGATTCTTCGAGTCGAAGTCTCTTTCGGTAAAAACCCACCAGTGGCTAAGTGGTCTTCGTACCTTGAACACGGGGAGTTCGTTCGTGGGTTCGCACCTTGCTGAGACGGGCTGGCTACGTGGAGTTTTCCGGGATTTATCCACGTCTGTAACGCCTAAATAGGGGCCAGTTTCCCTTAAAAACACCTCCCAGAAGGCATTTCACCCTAGTCAGATCGCCCAAGTGTTGCGTTGCCATAACTTAACAATGAAACAAACTCTTTCCGTAAGGAACAAGAAATTGATCTAAAGTTGATTGTCTTACTCTTTTAATCAAAATTTTTCTCAAATGCGATAGCGCATTGTCGTTTTCTATTGCCACTATGACTTTTTTCTTTCTTTGATACCATATTGATTAAATATATAAATCACAAAACTGAAAAAAAGAAGTATAGCACAAACACTCGGAAAAGCAATGCTTAACTCGCGCATGCGTAAAATTTGACACAATATACCGTTACGTTCGTTATCCGAATTTTGTTCGTTATCTGAGACAAAATTTTTGCAAAATAAAAGTTCGTTAACCGATTTGGTCATTAACCAGGACGTTCGTTAACCGGGGTTCCACTGTACAAGGTACCACTGTAGATTTCTGAGTTTTTTAAAATTGTACATAATAAATTTTGTATAATAATTGAATTACTTTATATTAGGACAACTAATTGAAAAAAAATAAATAAAAAGTGATACTAAAGCAACATAACAACAAAAATGATAAATATACTTTCTATTTAGATAAAAATTGCTGGTTACAAAATTTTAAAGCACACTCCTAATTCATAATAATTCCTTAAGGTGAAATCGTTGTTCATTAGATATTGGTATTGTTGGGATATATGGGTATTGAAGATACAAATATGAAGTAAAAATTTTTCCCTTTATTTTTCATAATTATGGACTAAATACATGATACAGTGCAATCATAAAGTTCTTCTGCAGTGAGCCATGCCGATGGCTTGGCCAAATGGTAACATTAGCGAGGTTGAGGCCGAAGTTTTAAATGCGAAAATGTGTATGTCGGACATTCAGCGCCACTCTCCCGTAAGCCTAGAAGTTTGACAATGGTGTTTGGAATGTAGAGCATGATTCCACTGACTATCCAAACACCATTGTCAAAGTTCCAGGCTTACAGGAAAGTAGCGTTGAATGTCCGACGTACACATTTTCACGTTTAAAACTTCGGCATCAACCTCGCTATTATAACTTACTTTAACCCTTAATGTGCAGTCTGTCCTTCATTCTTGAAAGCTTCCCTCCACTGCAGAGGGAATTTACAATTACACTGTATAATATTAATATAATACACAAAAGAATTTTTTTATTAAATAACTTATAAAAAACCACAAAAAGTAAATTTGCATGAAGTAAATTTCACAACAGAATCACAAATTGAAAATCAAATTACAATATTAAGCATTTTATTTAAAAAAAGTGATTAATTCAAAAAGCACACAAAACATTCAATATACACTAACATAAACTACTGATTAAACTGTTCATTCTGCATAATTTACATAACTACTACATTATAGTTAACTTACAAATCTGAAAACAAAACTGAGTTTATTATTTAATCCAAAGCCATTAATATTAAACTGATCTAAATTAAATTTTATAAATCTAAATATGCAAGTTATGTAAAAAGTTAATTATTTAGAAAACTTTAAACTATCAACTATATATTGCATGATTTATTTAATTAAATATATAAAATTTAGTGATTTTAAAATTCTAAGACCAATTTTTTATCTTAAGACTATATTTCCTCTGCATTAACATTGTGATTTAAAGTCAAGGGAGCTTTAATTATAACTGAAATGCTAAAGTAAGGAAACAATCATATATTTTTATAATTTTTATGAAAATATTCCATAATTAAAAACTCTGGTTTAATTTTTTTTCTTTTAATAATTATTCTATGTTTACATTTAAAAATAAATTAAATTTAATTAAAATCAACAACTATTTATTGCATCAAACATTATTATTATTATTTTTTTTAACATAATCTATGTTAAAGGATGTTACTATTTTTGTCTTATAATTCAAAGATTAATTTTTAATACAGCAAACCATTCTCAACAAGCAAAATTTTACGAAAGCCATCCAATTTGGAAAATGCCTAGTATGAAAGATCGTGTAATTTCATTAAATTAAAACTAATTTATCCACTTTATTTTTATATAAACTTATTTAAAGTATTATAAGTAAAAATTTTATATAAAATTTTGCTCTATTACTGCCAAAACTTTTAAGAGAAGTAGAATTAATTTTATTAACTTTGCTGAAGTGTCAAAACTTTCAGGCATGCATTGTTATTGTTGTAAGCCACATTTATATGATTTATAGCTGATTATATTGAATATTTTATTAGGAACTTGTTCTCTCATTATATATTATATTTATTAAAAAAAAATCAATTAATTTTTAAAAATATTAACATTCAATTGTCCTTTTAATAAACAACATTGTTTATTCAATTGTCTATAATTAATTTAACACTGTTTATTGAATTATCTATAATTAATTTAAGATAATACAAAAAACAAACAATTATTTATTGTGACATTGTCACAATGCCAGGCTGTAATTTTTAATATATTTACTTTAAAATATATACTCTCCACCTCAAATTAGTGGTGGCTTGCTCCTGCACATTGAACATAGTTGAAAATGCCCAGCCTTTCACTATTATAAAAGCTGGATTAGAGAGGTACTGTTATATTTTGATCATCATTTCTTCAAAAATTTGTATAGATCAGAGCATATATAAACAAAATAAAATACACCAAGAAACCATAAAATTCCAGTATGTGCTCTACTAATGGAAACTAGTTATGTGCTGGATCGTTAAAAATGTATATCTGCGGATACGGATACAGATACGGATCATTAGTGTCTAGATCCGCGGATACGGATCTCAACTTTCGTACTCAGTCGGCACCGGTGCGTGTGACCTTGGACCGATAGTTGATGCTTTGCGTTAGTAACGCGATGTGTTTTGACTCTCACTGCGTGTGTTTTTGTTTATAGTTTAGTGTGACACAGGATAGTGTAGATTACATTTGTATCTTTGGAAAGTGTTGAGTTAAATTAAAATAAAAACAATGTAGACAAAAATGTTTAGTAGTGTAAGATAGAAATATTTTACGATAGTAAATGAATTTTGCATAAAATTTTTGCAATATGAATGTGCCAAATATGTGATTTTAAGAAATAAAAAGTGATTTGAATTGAATTTATTAGTATTTCATTGCTACCTATCTTTAAAATTTCATATAAGTAATGAAATTCATTAAGATAAAAGATCCGTTAAAGATTCGCTAAAAAGTAACGGATACGGATACAAATACGGATTTTTTTCCCCTTGGATATCCGTGGATACGGATACCCGGCACATCACTAATGGAAACTATGGACTAACATTTTTAATCACTACATTGGATCATCTGTGCACTTTCTAATTCAAAAATATAGAACCTGAAGAAGAATCAGTGTATTGGTCAAAAACATTAGTCCAGATTTAATTTATGTTTCCTTGGTGTATTTTATTTCTTCAAACAAATGGCTTCTTGAATGAGTTGAGTACTTTTGCTGCTAAAAATATGATATTGTACTTGCTAAAGCTTTTACCCGCACTTTTTAAAGTTGTGTTTATTGTGGACATTGCCAAATTAAACGTTGCATTTACATTAACTTTATTCTCACCAGCCTCCAATCAATGTAATACTTTATATATCCAGAGAAATGCTTTTCTTTGCAGTTTTGATCCATTGAATTAAAATAAAGACTATTTTTAAGTAAAGTAAAAAAAAAACTTACAGTATATATATTTGTGTAAAGTTTAAATAAATATTTAAATGTTTATAAATAAATTAATTAATTAGTCAAAATTATTCAACTAAACATTTTTAATAATAATATATTTAGTATTTAGCAATAGATGGCACAGTGTATATGTATCAAATTTCTTATCATTATTGATTTCTGTATCAGCATAAATAAATCACAAACATAGTTTTAAATCATTTTGTTATTGCTTTAATTACATTAAATAATTAAAAATAATCAATTACCAAAGAACAAAAATTTAATTATCTTTTTAAATCCATCTAAATTTTCAAATTTTACCAATGATTGCTGTCATATTAACAAAATATGATAATTTTTTAAATTTTTACTTTTTATTTACTTCCACTTAAATACTCAATTATCCCGAGAGGGGGGAAACTAGAATCAACATTATTAATAGATTTTATAAGCAATTTAATTTTTGGTAAGTTTAATAATAAAGTCAAACTTTGTACTATGTCTAAAATAAAAATTCAATTCAGTATGATTCAAAATTATTAGAAGAATTTGAGAAACTTTTATAAATGAAAATTTTCTATTATTTTACGCAACTTAAATTTTGTAACTGATTAAGCATTAAACAATTAAAAAAAAGTGTTACTATATTGTAATTCAGCTATAAATCAATAAATGCTGCAATTATGAATTATGAGTATTCTTCAGTATGGCATGCATGACACTGAAACAAGAAGAAACCACTTCACCTCTCTGAAATGATATAATTGTGTCACTCAGTTCTTCAATCATATGCACACGACGTCCCTTGATACCCATCACTTGAGTAAAAAATGATATTCACATAAATAGAAAATCAAAAAGAATTTAAGTACATTAAAAAAAAAAAATTCCATTCAATATAAAATCAAACAAATAAAAGAATACAAAATAAAAATAATTTCATAATAAATGAAAGAATGATTTAAAAAAAAAAAAAAAAAAAAAAAAAAAAAAAAAAAA